GCCAGTGTATACTGATAGCGCGGGCGGGGTTATCATTTCATTATCACCAATTAAAAAAAAAAACTATTCCTTCCCCCTGCAGTTAGGCCTTGGTGACGCTTCTGCCCATCTGTCAAACATCAAGTACCCTCTTACGACATCCACGGAAAAGGAAGGAGACCCGAGACCACACGGCTACTACTGACAAAGGTGGCTCGGATCCGTTCCTAATGGCAGTCTATGGGGGAGGCTTATGTTCAGCAGTGAACGGATAATGGCAGAAACGATGATGATGATGAATCATAGAAATAGTAACCATTTAACCATTGGCACTCAATCAGTGTTGATTAAGTACCAATGGTTAAATGGTTGGACCAATTTAAATTAAATTTGGTACACAGATTTTTAACCATATCCCTAAATTCACAGAACACTTTTTATTTTAATTCACGCAAGCAAAATCGCAGGATTCACCTAACGTTTATCAATATTATAAATGTGAAAGTGAGTTCGTTTGTTTGTCACCTTATAACGCCTTAACCGCTTAACAATTACTATGAAATTTAGTATGCACGTACTAAATGAAATAAAGAAGTATATAAGCTACTTTTTGTCCCAGTCAATAAACATATATCGGTGATGCGGACCAAGTCGCGGGTAAAAGCCAGTATTAATATGAAACTGGCATTTATTCCACAAAACACTGATATATTTTTTCTAGTTATATACTTGTTTGCATACATATTATACGATAAATGTATGCAGTAATTCCATTCGATTTTAAACTGCCCGCTTCGAATTTCGATAATTTCTGTTGTTGGTAATTCGAATTTCAAAATGAAATAAAATTAACGTATAATAAAACCATACGAATATATACTTTATTAACGTTGTTTTAAATTTCAAAATCCTAGTGTTATATTTTTTCTTTTCCAAATTAAAATTATATAGGGTTGTCTACGGAAAGTACCAACCGTTCTTTGTGGTTGACTGTCTGTGACCTGTAAACTATCTAGACGTTTGCACAGCAGCGGGGCATTAAATGGACTGTCAGTTAAATGTTTATGTATAATTACCAACCCTAGTTTCGTAACCCCCCGTAACCTTACCATTCACTCTCAGCAAAACTTGCGGAGGGTTTGACAAACGAGTGGCCGAAACGCAACTCACTAATTACGGACATCATTCCCGCTCTTGATGACAAAGTTACTGAATACTTAGGCTGGACCCGATGTAGGGTTGCCAAAACATACATAAATTTAATTGACCTTTTTTAATTGTCGTTCTCACCTTTAATTTCTTATCTGTTTTATATTTTCTACTCGTTCCATACCAATTAATGTTTTTTTTTTAATTCTTTAGTCACCCCTTGAGTTAATTTTACAATTAGAGTTTTTATACATGCTGGTACTGCTCATGTCTATAGGCGACGGTTATCACTTTCCATCAGGTGGACCGTCAGCTTGTTTGCCATTCTAAGTTGTATAAAAAAAAGCTTAACATTCACTTTTTTTACTGTATAATATTCTTTACTCTTTTTTAATTTCAATACAGTATCATGATAGTAATATGATAAGACTGTGATATTTTATTCGTACCTACATTTATGTATTGGGAAGCAAACTCCCGCAGGTATGTATGACAGAGATGGTATCTAAAATATATATATATGGACATTGACAACCCTAAGGGAAAGGACCTCGCGTGCGAAAACTTAACGCTTGGCAAGAATATGCGGTAGCCCTTTACTCTGCTAATGTTTTAGGCACTTTACCCTGTGTTGCTTTTATGTTTATCCATGTTTTATTATAGTTTGAAAAGCAGCTGTTACCATTACCACCGGCGGAATCATACAAATAAAAACATTGTGTGAAATGTGATATGACTCAATTTAATACTCCTGATTGGCAATCATTGACGTGACACAATTTTATACTCCATATTCTCTGTCCGCCATTTTCAACATGTCGCACATTTGTATTTGGAATTCTAAAGTAGCCTTCATCAACAATCTTTGTCAATCAATTTACGTCACGCATTTTGTATTCAGAATTCAATTTTAAACGTGGAACTGTTAATTTTTTATCTATGCTAGATGTATGTTTAAAATTTCGAATTTTCTATATAACATTATTTTAAACTTCGAATTTTCGATTAGTTAACGTGACAAGTGATAACATATTTTCCCAATTATTTACACATTCCCAATTTAATATTATCAAAATTTATTCAAATAACTGTAATTTTATATTGTCTTAGAATTTTGTATTTGCAAACAAACAACATCACAATATTAAAGATATTAGGAACAACATTAAATAAGAATAAACATTCTTTTAAAAAAAGACTCTCTATAAAGAAAACTCTTTAAGTATTATACAATATAATACGAGGTTGATATAATATATTATTCCGTTATATTACCTACCAGAGGGAGACTATGTACAAAAGTCGTTTGCTTGGGTACCTCTGTTCCATTCGTGCTTCTACCGTGAAGCAGTTGTGTTTGCATGGCTGTGTTTCGGTTTGAAGGGTGGGATATGGCGTGAATTTACAGGGTACAGATGAATAACACCTGAGTCCTCAGGAATGGCAACGCATGGGGGGTATCATGGGCGAAACAGTATACTCTGTTATGTCCATGGTACTGCTCATGTCTATAGGCGACGGTTACCACTCTCCATCAGGTGGGCCGTCAGCTTGTTTGCCATTCTAAGTTGTATAAAAAAAAAATATATATATATATATATATATATATATATATATATATATTAGTATCACAAGATTATTAAAAAAGATTATTATACATCAATATACATTATTATAAGGTATATTCAACGTTTTTCATTCAGTATTAAAGAGAAATCAGCAAATCTCTTTCGGCGAATCGTCTCGTATTAATAAAGTAAGGATTAAAGGTTCGTGCGAACTCTCTCCCGGTCATCAATATCTGTCGAGTTGGATAGTACTTATTTATCCTGTCAGTTGCATTGTCATCTAATAATTTCTTTTTAAATTTAAAAGTAATATATAATGCATTTATTATCTTTCACGACTGACGTAATAACATTAACTTGTCCACCAAATTTGCATTTCGTTTATTTTTATCTTGAAATCAAATCGTTTGATTTTTTTTTTAACTACATATATTACTTTAATAAGAAATGAAAATTGCATTCGGAAAGAGTTGTTAAAAATAATTATTAAAAAATGCAAATAATTCACGCTGCTCATAAGACAAGCTGCAGCCCGCGTCTTCGTCCGCGTAATTGTAATGTATCCAGTGTAATAAGTCGGGATAAATCCTACCCGTATGCTAAATTTCATTCAAATATATACAGTAGTTTTTACATGAAAGAGTAACAAATAACCGTCCTTACAAACTTTCGCACTCATAAAATTAATAGTAAAAATGTATTAACAAAAAATATTAAATTAGAAAACTTAGAAATGAACAGTTATTTTCTACTGTTATATTGTATTATATATATTTTTTTAAATGTGAAACAATTTAGAATTGCCATACTTTGATGCTGTTCAAAATGGTGACAAAATTTCATAACCTCAACATGGATACCGCGATTTATTCTATGTTTAAATTTAAAGATTATGGTCGTACTTTCGTACGTTGAAAAAACAATTGCGGCATCTCTTTAAACATTACGTGCCACGTCGCATGATTCCGTACATAATATTAACAGTGACTTAATAATTTAAAACGGAAGGGTTGCCCATTACGCGAGCTCATTAGCACAGCCGAAATAAAGCGTGCAATATAAAAGAATGACTAGACACTTCGGTACCCCTGTCTATTTATCACGGCAAATATTGCCCGCGTTTGAAAAATATACGCGCTATGGAATACCTTCCCGCGCATGCCCTCTATTGGACGTTTCTAAAATTTACAGTCGCGACGTGATATCTTAAATCGGAAGGCAAAATTGTATAGTACTAGCTTTTATTCGCGACTTCGCCCGCGTGGACGGGATAAAAAGTAGCCTATGTTCTTCTCCATACCATATAGTATGTAAATACCATATTTCATAATGATTGATTAAGCCGTTAAAACGCTAAGCTGAGACAATTGGCTGACAAAAAGTTAATTAGTTAGTTCCTCAGGAATGGCAACGCATGGGGGGTATCTTGGGCGAAACAGTATACTCTGTTATGTCCATGGTACTGCTCATGTCTATAGGCGACGGCTACCACTTTCCATCAGGTGGGCTGTCAGCTTGTTTGCCATTCTAAGTTGTATAAAAAAAAAAAGTTGTTATTAATATATTCTTTACACATTGTATACAAACATAATGTTAAGAACAATTACTTTTAAACGTACAATTACTTTTAAACCTTCATATGAATTAAATTGATATTTAAAAAAGACACTCATACAATTTCTGTACATATATACATACAAATCTGTCACGCCTGTCTCCCATTAGGGTAGGCAGAAACAATGGAACTTGCCAAATGCTTCGATTCAAACAAACCTCTTTCGATTCTTTCACATTTATCAATCTTTTCATACACGCTCGCCAGTTACGGGTACTTTTGATTTAGCCCTTCAGCACGTCGCCTATTTGGTCAACATACGTCCGTCTAGGGCGGCTCCTACCGACATCTCCCTTCATTTTTCTTTCTGACACAATTTCTGTATATTGCATAAACATATTTGTAAGATAAATATATACAAAGAATAATGCAAACTACTATTAATTACACAAAATATATAAAACCTGGCGATATTTCCAATGAAATAAAGGCGAATTAGATTTTTTTACTATTTTATACACACACCATTGCCATCTTTTGTCGGCAATAAAAAAATAGTTTTAATGAAATCAAAATTTTTTTTTTATACAATTTAAAATGTCAAAAAAGCTGACGACCCACCTGATGGAAAGTGGTAACCGTCGCCTATAGATATGGTCAGTACCATGGACATAACAGAGTATACTGTTACGCCCATGATACCCTCTGGTATTACTTAAAATATTAACCTATTGTGTCTTTATTTTCAGATCTCTACATGACTCTAGAGATGACTCCGAGCCCCGAACCGCGGTTATGTGCAGTAAGTACATAATATAAATCTATGGAAAAAATTAAAAAATAACATAGACAGATAGATATAATAGATTAAAATAGTAAACTTCTTATAAATACAAACAATTACAACAAATTATTATAATAAGAAAACAACATATAGATATATAATAATTGAAATAAACTGTTTTGATAACAACGTCCTGTTATATATTTTTTAGTATTCCATACATATGTATAACTGGTGATAAAAAGTTTTCTTATAAATAAAGTTATATATAAAAAAGAACAGTTAAAACAGTAAAAAAGTTAAAATAATAAAAAATTATACAAATAATCATCAGGTAAGATGGCGAATTCAAAACTTATTTCATCATCATCATCATATCAGCCGTTAACTGTTCACTACTGAACATAGGCCTCACCCAAAAAGGGGCGTTTACCAATAGTTACCACGCTTGATAGGCGAGTTGGTATAACTGCAGATAAGAACAGTTCTCCCATAAATATAGTCTTAATAGAATGAAAAAAAAACAGTCGAAATTTTTAAAATAATACAAATAGTTAAAAGGGGGTAAAGATCTTCAGGTCGGCAAGCGCGCGAATACCTCTGGTATTGCAGGCGTTCATCATCATATCACGTTAACTGTTCCATCAGGTGGGCCGTATGCTTGTTTGCCACCTCAGTGGTATAAAAAAAAATAAAAAAAATAAAAAAACTGCAGTTAGGCTTTTGATGATGTTTTAAGAGAAACACTGCTGCTGACATCTCTCAACTACTGAGTTCCCTTAATCGCCTCTCATACCACCCACTGGAAAGAAAGGGGTAGCCCATTCTATGCCGGAAACACACGGCCCTTTTGGCCGTGGTACGAAACATGTAACAATAAATTTTTCCAGTTTTTTTTTTATATCACTGAGGTGACAAACAAGCATACGACCCACCTGATGTTAAGCGGTTACCGTAGTACCTGTAATACCAGGGGTATTACGCGCGCATTGCCGATCCTGTAAAAATTCTCTTTACCCCCCTTTTAAAGAACCATACTGTAGTCTTTTGGAAAAACCTCGACAGGTCCTCATTTCATAACCTGATCGTTTGTGGATGAAAACATCTCTGAAACTGCCATGCTGTAGATTATGAGGATAAATAAACTTCCTGTCGATGGCGAGCCGTACGATGGTAGAAAGTGGCTGTGGGCATCATATTGAACAATTCCTCTGAGCACAACCCATTGTACAAGCGATAGAACACGCAGAGGGAATTATTATTATTCACGCAGTTACAATTTTATTACATTACTAATACAAGATTTTTGCACCAAAAACAATATCTTGTTTTCTATGACTTTTGCCTAAAAATCCAAGTATCCTAAGTTATTTCTCTTGAGGCAAACGTCGTCCCTGATGTATTAGCTTCGGAGAATTAATGGCATTCACGAGACGACCTAATATCGACAACTGCTACTGACGTATTAGTATGAATAATTAATAATTCAATTACATACCGAGCTATGATTAATACCTATATATTGATATAAATTATGTAATACGTATCTCTTATGTAATATTGCATTACAATTGTAATATTAATAACATATTGTAAATAGATTTAACTCTGTAAATTATGATGAGAAATTCCCTGGTATTAACACAGACACATAGTTGGTCACATAGCTCGAAGAACCGATAACCAATGGGGAAGAAAGAAAGGCAAACGCAGTGTAGTACGACCTCTCATTAGATGGAGTGACGACCTCAAATGTATTGCAGGGAGTCAATGAACGCAGGAGGCTCAGGACCGTTTTTATAGCAGTCTATGGAGAGGCCTATGTCCAGCAGTGGACATATAATGGCTGATATAATGGTGATATTGATGAGTATTTTATTCTTTTGACCAACTTTAAGATCTGTAAATCAAAACTGATAGCATACTAGCATTATGCTATCAGTTTTTTTTTTAATTAACCCGTAATAAGACTTAAAGTAGCCGTGTGGTCCCTGCATAGAATGGGAAAGGAAGAACTGACCCCTACCTTTCCCATAGATGTCGTAAAAGTGATGTTGTGGGTGATCATAGGCGGCGGTAGTCACTTACCACCAGGTGAGCCGCATGCTCATTTTGTTCCCCTATGTTGTAAAAAAAAATGACGACTAAGAGAATTTAATACTTGAAGGATGAGCTCTAGCGTTCCTCTTAAAACATCACCAAAGCGTCACTATGGTTATCAATCAACCTGCCAATCATGGCAACTACTGGCAAAAGGTCCTTTATAGAGAAGGCCTATGTTCAGCAGTGGACAGTTAGTGGCCGGTATAACAATAAAATAATTATAAAAAAACTTATATTATACTCATATACATATGAAACCATAAAGTGTTAAAAATGTACAAAAATGATTATCCTTTAGATCAACATTCGGAATTTTTGTAACTTTGTTTCTTTTTGTCAATGTAAATGCGAACAAATAACAAGCGAAATCAAATCCAGTAACCTTTACATTTGGACTGCTTTTTGTCTGGCGTTCTCGTAGTTTGCACCAAAACACCCGTTTCCAGGATTTGTTCATATTCCCTCGTATTGTCTCTGGAATACAAACAGGCCCCAGAAAATTGTACAACCAAAATAAAAATTACAATAGGTTGCACAGTTAACAAAAACTGCGCAGAGTATCTGTTGTTTCCTATTTACATTTTAGCCGACTGCGGCACAGCGAATATGCGGAAATATAATATTGAAAGGATGCACAGACATACATATGTACTTGTACTTTTTCCATTAACAAACTAGCTACAGCAACATAAGGAGGTTGGGGGAGAATGGATTGTTAATAATGGGGTTTAGTAGCCCCATTGCTAGCAATATACCCTGTCATAACCTCCACGTGATCCCCCAAGAAATATGGAAACCATAGCGTTTCTATTCCAAGTGAAATTCATCATGATAGGCTAACTGACCTGCTATTTCATTCTCACTTGTCATCCTTAACTGGTCTCTCGCCAGCGTATACCATTAGCGCAGGCGGAGTTACCATTCCATTATCATCCATTAAAAAAAACATAAGTAGATTTTATTTAACATATTAATTAACAGACACTCATTGTTATTATTTCTATCACACTCACCCTCTCTAACTTATTTTAACTACTTATTTTAGGTCCCTTATTCATAAAAGTTAAAACCTACTATAAACCTATTTTAGCTATTGAATATTTTGATTACTTTCTTTCAAATTTGGATTGTGGCATAAAAGAACTTTTAAATTTGGAATGCGGCATAAAAGAACTTTTAAATTTGGAATGTTTTATAAAAGAAAGAGACTAAACAGTTCAATAGCTAAAATAGATTTATGAGACATTTGACGTTTTTATGAATAAGAGCGTTAGAATTTAAGTTTATAAAATTAGAATCCATTATAAGCTGTAATTATAAGGTACTGAGCATAGAAGTTATTTTGTAAGAGAGCTGTGGATATTTATACTAACTGAAATGAATGAAAAAATATATTATTATTTAATACAAATAAATTATTTCAAAAATATGTATAGAGTAAATTCGACATAATTGACTTCCTTTTAAATGAGTAGGGAGTGTCCCACCAATAAAATTAAACATTTTCGTAAAGAAACATAGGGATTAAAAACGCCAAAAAAATTATGAAATTTTGTAGACCATACACTAACTTTTGCACAATGATCACACAGATATCGATTATATACTAGCTTTTTGCTCGCTACTTTGCAAGCGTGATTTTGGATTTTTTTTAAGGGTGAAAATGGTATGGTAACCCCGCCTGCGCTAACGGGATACGCTGGCGGAGCACCAGTGAAGGGAGATAGATGAGAACGTGAACAGGCCAGTTAGCCCATCATGATGAATTCATCAGGAATTAACCATGATAGTTTCCAGGGGGAACCGCGAGGAGGTCGACCTGGTTGGGTATATTGCTAGCAATGGAATTCTCAGTCTCCATTACTATTAATCCCTTTCCCCCGTGATTTTGAATGTAGAAAAACCAACGATATGGGTCACTTCTAAATGGCGTATCAAAATAAAACATAGACCAGTTTTTAAGTCAAGTCTTCAGAAACTCATTTTTTTTATACCACTTAGAATGGCAAACAAGCTGATGGCCCACCTGATGGAAAGTGGTAACCGTCGCCTATAGACATGAGCAGTACCATGGACATAACAGAGTAAACTGTTTCGCCTATGATAATATGGGGGGTCCCATGCGTTGCCATTCCTGAGGACTCAGGTGTTATTCCTCTGTACCCAATAAATTCACGCCATATCCCACCCTTCAAACCGAAACACACACATGCAAACACAACTGCTTTACGGTTGAAACACGAATGGGACAGAGGTACCCAAGCAAACTCAGGAATGGAATTGCAGGTGGCGAGTTATTGGGTATTTTAACTCGATTCTCGATTTGTCGTTGCGATATTTTTTATGATGTTGGGTATTCCCATATATGGGTACTTCTAATGAGCGATAGAGTATGTGAGATGCGTTAGAATACCCCATGAGGAGTGTCTTTTATACTATTTGGGATGGATTTTTATAATATATAATAGTTTTTTAATACGAGCGTCTTTTATTAGTTATCTCCTTGCGCCAAATAGCTTCTGTCTTTTTCTATTCTTCTAGAGATGATTTGAATACATCCAAAGGTTGTCTAGAAGAGATTGTTTTAGCGATGAGACCGCCATTTGTACTTCATATGTGTAATGTATTTTTTTTTTGTGTATAAATGATGGAATAAGGAGTAAATGAATAAATAAATATTGCCCTTTCTACATACCTGTTCACCGATAGAATATTTTTTTATTAGTTAAGTGGTCACTTAGTCTTCTATTCATGCGATGGTAATCGTATTCAATGTACAACAGTTGGAGCGGAATAAATTTGGAATAACATTATGCCAAGTGTTCTTGGAAAGGATTTTGAATCAATGAATGGTGCATTGTTTTATATATTTTTTCATAGTACTCTTATTAATAAACTATTAGATTTATTTACAA